GCGTGAGACCGAGCAGACGCAGGAGTTGCTCTCAGGAAGTTGACTATCAGACATTTTAATGGGGGGCAGGGAATACATCTCTATGGTGGTTACTTTTACCCATAAATATAATACCTTTAGTTTTTGAGGCGTTGGAAAAAGTTGACCAGCATCATTCTTGCCCCAGTTAAAACAACCACATAATGAGGGGGGCTTGGAAATCGCCGATACCCACAGGATAGATTAATGGTAAGAGAGACAGAGGAAAATTGTTAATGAGAGGCGTGTGAATGTAGAAACATTATGCAGGTTGAAGAATCATTGATGAAGGTCATTGATGAAAATATAAAAAATTTAATTTTTTTGCTGATCGCTTCCTGGTTTGTGGATAGGAAATGAGAAAAAAGCCACCATCGTTTAGGGTTAGAAACTTGAGTTGTATTAGATCAAAACAGTTGTTCAGATAATCCATCCCCTTTTAACATTTGGCTTTAAAAGTTGGCCGGTTGGAAGAAAATCAAAGCAGAAGAAAATGCTTTGAGATGAATTTGTTTAAGGTAGATCTCAACTTGCCAGGAAGTGACCCACACACTTGATTTTATTACCTTCTACCACAGAAGATATAGAATGAAACAGAAACCAGTTATGAAACTACAACAGACTACCTGTATCTCTGCTATAATTTCAAGTGGCACCTTCCATAGTATGTCCATCATTCCTTCCTCTTCCTTCACTGGTTCAACTGTTGAGATCTGTTGTAATTGTCATCCTCTTGTTACACTGTTTGAGTCTTTGGGGTTGATTACACTTAGTCTAGGTCCTCGTCAGGAACAATAATGAGGAAAAGTGGCTCAGTCCAGAGTTCTTAAAGACATCACTAATCAGAGTCAGTTTGGACCAGGTCAAGCCCCTATACCATGACAAGGAGCAACCATCAGAAGTTGAAGGCTAACATATACATAAATATAAATTTTTTATATAAATTATAAAGTCAGACCCTAACAGCTTTCAATTTCAACATATACTATGCAAATTGCATTTTCCTCAGATGAAAAAAAAAAAAATCACTGTTAATCCTCATGTTATTGTCACCAGACAAATTTTGTTACTATTTGAAAGAATGAACATTATCCAGAGTGAAATCAACACAAGTAAAATGACGAGTTCAAAAACAACAAATTCAGCTCAATGGTAAGAAGAATCATAAACAAGAGATCTCAAGTGTCAATTGAGAAGGAATTGAAAGATTAAGATTTATTTCTGGTTTGAACTTTCTCAGAAAGCAACCATTTGAAAGGTTATTGACGACAGAATATAAGTAAACTTACTCTTATTTGAGATCTCCAAAAATGTTTAAAAACAAATGGGCTTGAAAGCAACTGTGTGTGTATGTTTGTGTGGAGAGAAAACAGAGAGAAAATTGAATCAATGTGAGAGACAATGTAACACAAAAATCAGACATACAATAACAAGAGAGCTGAAAACAAATACCAAATCTTAAATGAAGTGCCAAAAAATTAGAGACACCCTCCTTGTGGAATAAAAGTGGCTATGCAATCTCACACAGAATCTATTAGTTGCTAGAATTATTGGATAGGTATGATTTTTCCCAGGGATGTCCAGAACTAATGGCAATGTTAATGGTAATATTAGAGGTTTCCTTATAAGGAAACATTTGGAATTCATTGACCAGCAGACAGTTTTTCCTCCAGCTGAAATTTATAAAATCTTTCTATTAAAACAGTTTTTCAAGAAAATAGATTTCCAGTAATTGTTATCACTCTTTCTAGTATTGATGGGAGCTTCCTTTTTAACCCTTGTTTGAAGTCTTGTGGAAACATCAACATCTTGATTAAGGTATTATTTTCTACATTATTTATATTGTTCGGACTGTTGTCCTCATCTTTACTGTCATATTCACAATGTTTTGACTGTTGTATGCTCCGATCTTCTTCAGGTGATTGGAATTTTGAATTGAACCCTTTATTTAGCCCACTGGGGTAGATTATTCTAGTTGAAAAAAACGTGCCATTTTTTTTCCAGATAAAAGCGCAATGGATTATCTATTTGTGAATTTGGTTTGTTTTGAAATTTTTCAAACAATGTAAATAATGTAAACAATTACAATAGCTCATCTCAGAAATATAGACAGATATTATTTTCTCTTTGAGTTACATGTGATATCCATTTTAGTTATTGCTGTTGTTGAACATCCTCAAGTCATATGGTTTCTGTTATACTAAATTGTGGATAATGAAAAAATTCTGTGTGACACATAAAAAATTTTGCCAGTTCAATTATTTTTCACCAATTCCATATTGTCCATTTATAAATCTACTATTTGATTGTGCATCAAATATTGCTACTACACCTGGTCTGGTGCACCTGGCATATATCTCGAGATTCTTGACAAAATTCAAATAATTCCTCTTTCATACCTTGACCTTATGAATTTACACATACTACTAAATTGGCAACTAGATCTCATCATTTTACTATTGAAATAGCTAGATGTAAGACG